TCATATCAAAAGATGGAGTGTCAGTGAATCCTGAAAAGGTTGACGCGGTGCTCGACTGGGAGAAATTGACATCAGTTAAAGAAATTTGTAATTTTCTAAGAATGATGGGCTATTACTGCAGGTTCATCGAAGGATTTTCTAGCCTAGCGGCTCCCCTAACCCGACTCACAAAGAATAATGTCAAGTTTGAGTGGAATGATGACTGTGAAAGAAGTTTTTTAGAACTGAAGAAGCAGCTGACTACTGCACCTTGCTTGCCTTACCGAGTGAATCGGGGGGATATATAGTTTACAGTGATGCCTCCTATCTAGGCCTGCGTTGTGTCCTAATGCAGCATAGGAAGGTCACAGCTTATGGGTCCAGACAGTTAAAGAGCCATGAAAAAAATTATCCCACCCATGACTTAGAGCTTGTCGCAATCATACACGCCTTGAAGACCTGACACCATTATTTATACGGAGAGACCTTTCATATCTATATCGATCACAAGAGTTTAAAACACACATTCACTCAGAAGGATCTCAACATGCGTCAGAGAAGGTGGATAGAACTTCTTAAAAACTATGATTGTGATATCTTGTACCACCCGAGTAAGGGCAACGTGGTAGCCGATGTACTCAGTAGGAAAAGTGCAGGTATCTTAGCCCATTTGATGGTCTCAGAATGCAGGTAAATTGGGGCTACACAACAGGTTCAACTTCAGTACTTGAGGAAAGCCACATGTTTGAGCCATTTAATCGTCCAGCCTGAGTTACTCCAGAGAATAAAAGAAACTCAATCAGCTGATTCCGCCCTAGTGGCCCTCAAGAACAATGCAGGACAGGGAGTTAGTTCAGAATTCTGAGTCTCTACCGATGGGTTACTCCGATTTCAGGATAGGATGTGTGTTCCGAATGACAGTGAATTGAAGAGAGACATTATGACTGAGGCCCACAACTCAAAGTTTACGATGTATCTCATAAGCACCAAAATGTACCAAAGTATGCGACCCCAATTTTGGTGGAATGGGATGAAAATAGACATAGCTGACTTTGTGTCTAAGTGCTTGATATGTCAGCAGGTCAAGATAGAGCATCAACGCCCAGGTGGGTTACTTCAACCTTTACCGATTCCGGAATGAAAGTGGGAACATATCGCCATGGACTTCGTGACAGGGTTACCTAAGGCATGCGCAGGACATGATGCCATCTGGGTAATTATTGACCAGCTCACCAAGTCTTCCCACTTCTTAGCCATCAGAATGACCAATCCCTTGGACAAGTTGGTAATAATATATATCCGGGAAATAATCAGATTACATGGAGTTCCAGTGACAGTGGTGTCCGATAGGGACCCTAGGTTCACTTCTCGATTTTGGAGTAGCTTTCAGCAAGCCATGGGAACGAAGCTGTCCCTCAGTACTGCATTCTACCCTCAGACTGATGGACAATCAGAAAGGACAATCCGTACACTTGAAGATATGCTTTGAGCTTGTGTCCTTGACTTTAGGGGCTATTGAGATGACCATTTGTCCCTGATAGAATTTGCCTACAACAACAGCTACCAAGCGAGCATTGGTATAGCTCCGTATGAGGCGTTATATGGGCGTCTATGCAAATCGCTGATTTGTTGGAAAGAAGTGGGTGATAGAAAATTGTTCGGCTCGGAGCTGGTAGAAGAGACCACATCCAAGATAGTTAAGATCAGAAGGAACATTCAGACGGCTCAGAGCAGGCAGAAGAGTTACGCGGACACCCGGAGGAGAGATTTAGCGTTTGAGGAAGGCGACCGGGTGTTCCTTAAGATCACTCATTTCAAGGGAATTAGTAAGTTTGATAGGAGAAAAAAACTGAACCCCCGATTCATTGGACCATTCGAAGTCTTAGACAGGATTGGTACTACCGCCTACAGACTAACACTACCTCCAGAGCTTTCCAAGGTCCACAATGTATTTTATGTGTCCATGCTACGCAAATACAACCCGGACCCCTCTCATGTCTTGGCCCACGAACCCTTCCCACTCTAGGAAGACTTATCCTACGAGAAAGTACCAGTCGGCATTACGGATTGAAAGAGTAGGTTATTCTGCAACCGGAAAATATCTTTTGTAAAGGTCGTATGGTAGAACCACACACCAAGGGAGGCTACATGGAAATTAGAATCAGACTTTAGAGCCCAGTACCCCCCATTTGTTCGATCAAGAGTAAGAGGCAAATTTGAGAGACCAAATTTCTTTAAGGGGGGGGGGAGAATTGTAACACCCCAATTATTATTATTATTGTTATTATTAGTATTATTTTATTTTGATTTTTTTGTAATTTTTATATGAATATATGAATTTTTATATGGTTTTTAATTTAGTTTAATTTAATTAAATAGAAATAATAATAATAATAATAATAAAAGGGGGTAAAATTATTTTAAGGATTTAATTGAAAGCGATTTTAGGAAAAAAATGGTAAAAATTTGGGTTCTGGGGGTATTTTTGAATAAAAATTTAAAAATCGGGGGTCAAAACATAATTTAAAAAATTTACGCCACGTCAGCTGTCCGGTCAGCAGCCTTGGCAAACCAGAACGCGCCGCGTGGCAGAGACACTGACGCGGGAGGCCACACAGAAGGGAGCCACGTGGGCGATCTGCGTGTGCGCGATTAAACTGCTGAGATTTGTTCCCGCACGCACGGACGGCCCAGACCAAAAACATGCACGGAGGCCCAGATTCATTTCCTTTTTAATCTCGATCGGATGGTCAAGATTAAATCATCATGGACGGCTCAGATTAAAAGTGGAATGTTATAAATAATCTCATCCACACCCAAACCCTAACCCTAGCCACCAGAGCCCTCGCCGGA